CATTGTCGCGATTTTTAGGGTCAATGAAAGATGTAATATATATGGATTATAAAGAGTGGCCTACACGTTGTTATTTAAATATGGATGGTAACCAAACGAAGAGTGAAACCGATGATGATCAAAATAAGAGAAAAAGACGCGTAAGTGTGTTTGAAATGTAGTCTGCCTTCTTTATTCTTTCAATCAGCATTATATTCTTTCATTAGCTGGACTAAACTTGCCAATTTTATGCCTTTTATTATCGTTCAGGTTCGTACTGGCGCTGAAACTTATAACGAAGTCAAAACCGATATTCATTCAATATTAGTCTCATCTTTACCAGTTGAAGATGGTCTTTCATTCACGGAATTATGTCAACACTATTCATTGCAGAATAGTGGTCGACAAATGCCTTTTCAACAATTGGGCTACGCAACTTTGACAGACTTATTGAAAACAATGTGGGATGTTGTGAGAATTGAAAAACAGCGCTGTTATTTACGAGTTAAAGCGACGGCGAAGGTTGATCAGAAGAAAAAGAAGCATAAGTAACAACATAAATGAAGATTTACGAAAACTGAAAGTTAGACAGAAGAGGCATTTTTGTTTGTTTGTAATTCTGAGTGGTCGCCTTTTCTCATGTTTTGTAAATAAATATGTGGTTATCAATAAATAATGCTTACGCAGGAATGCTCAATTTCATAACAAAAATACTGACTTAGTCTTTCTTCGTAGCTGGTGACTAGTGTTAATATTGCTAAGGAGTGTAAAAAATTTGGTCCCGATTCCGGTGAACTCTATCCCGTGGTCTATACCTTGGACCGTTCAGCTCTGATCTAAATACTCTACAAGCTGGATTGATAAACATCATGAGCTACCCTGGTACAAGAACCGTCTAAATTCTCGATCTGAGTATTCAAGCAATTGCTGTGATCTTTTGTTCATGTTGGATGTCCATACTGAATCAATTGAAATTTCTGCCAGGATAATGATGATGTGGGCGTGTGATGTGGCTGTCGATGTGAGGTACTAAGAGTCCCACAACCACATCCTAATAAGGCTGCACAACTACTTTAGATGTGGGTGTGGGTGTGGGTGTGGGTGAGGGTGTGGGTGTGGGTGTGGGTGTGGGTGTGGGTGTGGGTGTGGGTGTGGGTGTGGGTGTGGGTGTGGGTGTGGGTGTGGGTGTGGGTGTGGGTGTGGGTGTGGGTGTGGGTGTGGGCGTGGGTGTGGGTGTGGGTGTGGGTGTGGGTGTGGGTGTGGGTGTGGGTGTGGGTGTGGGTGTGGGTGTGGGCGTTGTATTTTCTTTAGCCACACCTNAAGGAAAAATGCCTAAGAATTTCTTTCAGATGGCATTCGATAGAGTTTTAAATTATCTGCAAAAACCATATATTTCAAAGTCATACACTATACTTGACTGTAACTTTAGAGGAGAAATCCTGTGAAAATGTAGCATTTCTAAAAAAAATCATGTTTTTACATAATGACCCACGGATCTGTGGAAAAGGTATGTTCCAATGAGATATTTTCATAAAAACTACCTGAATATGGTGGTGATGGAAATATGAAAAGATTTTACAAAAATTTTTGGGCCGAAAAAACTGTAGCTAAAAGGCTAAAGATTGTTTGCATAAAGAAGCATAAAACCTAATCTTTTTGCGTGCAGATTTTGTTTCTATGTAGTTCTAATCACCGATTTCGAGGCATATTTGAAATCAGCATAAAAAAATGAATCAAATAGTGTATGTTTCGATGTTTTTCACTAAACTCTCTTTTCCTCGAAAATCCCACCTGTGTGGTCCCCCTCAGGATCTAGTGAAAAAATAAAAGTAGTCAATATACAAGTTTTATCACCCAGATGTCTATTATTTTATAACATCTTACCCCTTTTCAGAAGATAACAATTCATTTTTTACCGTTAGAATGATTTTCTAGTTCAATTCGTTTCAACTCATTGGTTGGCTGGACCCTGAGGGGGACCACACAGGTGGGATTTTCGAGGAAAAGAGAGTTTAGTGAAAAACATCGAAACATACACCATTTGATTCATTTTTTTATGCTGATTTCAAATATGCCTCGAAAGCGGTGATTAGAACTACATAGAAACAAAATCTGCACGCAAAAAGATTAGGTTTTATGCTTTTTTATGCAAACAATCTTTAGTATTTTAGCTATAGCTTTTTTCGGCCCAAAAATTTTTGTAAAATCTTTTCATATTTCCATCACTCCCATATTCAGGTAGTTTTTCTGAAAATATCTCATTGGACCACACCTTTTCCACAGATCCGTGGGTCATTATGTAAAAACATGATTTTTTTAGAAATGCTACATTTTCACAGGATTTCTCCTCTAAAGTTACAGTCAAGTATAGTGTATGACTTTGAAATATATGGTTTTTGCAGATAATTTAAAACTCTATCGAATGCCATCTGAAAGAAATTCTTAGGCATTTTTCCTTTATTTATAGTAGACCATTTTTCATCAGCAGATGCAAGCAATACCTGAAGATATTATTTTCAGTCTTTCTCAATTACTAAAAAGGCTTGAGAAAAAATAAATATGTGGAGAGATAGCCGATTCAATGTTCTACAAAACCCATATTAAACAATCTCAAATATCAAAACTTTTCTTAACCGGCGGCATCCTTTTGTTGTCTAAATACTATAGTTAAGTAAAAGAAAAAAAAATCCAGAGAAAACAATAAGTTTTTATGCAAGGTTTAGTGTGACTTTATATTGCGAATTCTTATTTAAATCAATTATTTCATCTTATATATAAATATTTACATTTATTATAAATTTTTCTCTAAGAAAACTTTTTATTTATTTTCCCATTCCAAGCTCAACGCTGTGCTGATGCTCACCGTGACATATCTAATTCAAGTTATATTCAGCAGTGTATTCAGTGGAATCTATAGTTTATCTTAGCATGCTTCGACTAAAAAAACAAACAGTTTTTTAAGTTTAATTTTGCCTAGAGCATATTCATTTACGTTGTCCTTGGTTTTGTCTCTTATGTTTATATATATACATCCATGCTTCATAATTTCGTTTCTCTTCCCTATTTCTCACGTCCTCTTATGCATCATGTCAAGCATTGTACAATATCATATTAGACCTTGAATATCTGTATTAAGTATCGAACATATCTTATTGGTTGAAAAATGCGTAAAGTTCTATATTAACTTGATCATGCTATGGAACTCTGTGTTATGATTTCGAAATTCTGTACAGAATAATGGGCAAATTACATAAAGAATATGAACACGATTTATTTTCAGTGCAAACCGGCTTCCTTTTTTTCACGGAAAATTACTAAGAAAGGCCTTAACCCTCAATTTTTCTTAAAAAGAAAACTTTTATATTGAGAAATTAACAAACTCTAGATTATTCGACGCAGTTTATGGTGCTGATTCTGAACCTACCGGTGATTTTGTTCAGAAACTTCTATGCTGAAAAATACCGTAGAAAAACTATGAAAAACTGGGAGAACGAAGGATTTTTTTTGAAAAACCTACATATTGATTTAGAGATATTTGTACATAAAAAGTATATGTGTCACATCAATAAGAGTTAACTCTGACAGTTTCATCAAAATTAGAGCTATAAAAAACAATATGAAGTCACTTTTTTTGAATAGCCCTTCATTGTAGAAAGAAAGATGATTTTCTAATAGGAAAAAGTTAAAACAAAATTATTTTTCACAAACCCATAGAGAAAATATTCTACCTTTAGAATATATATAATTTACTATTCCAATCTTCCTATCTTTTCTCTGAAAAGCATGAATGTATTTCTGAGATATCTATAAAAAAAAACGTTCCTATTTTGTGATCAAGTTTTTTGTAATAAACTGTGAAAAATCGAAACGAAATCTTTTGCTTTATTTAATTGTTCATGAACTAAAGTATACTCAATATTATTCAAATCAACATGTTTATTCATGATCACATATCTTAATCATCACAAAGGACAATGAATCTCTATCATTTGTCATTATGATTTGGAATTATTGATTTAAGTAACTATCGAAATAAACTTTTAGATTTCATCATTATCTTTTGTAGATATTATGATGTTTTGATCACTCACAGAATAATCTCTTCAAACAATTTTTGTTAAAGTTATATTTAATTGAAATATGTGTATCTACATATCTTGTAAAAGTTTCTTTCATTTTACATTTTGATATTTGATTTTGTTGGAATTTATCTTACAATTAAATGTTTTTATTTTTTTTTTATATTCGATTGATTGAAACTCAATCAATGCATAAAACTGTCATCCAATGACATTTTCTTAAGCATACAATCTTCGATTAAAATCTTCATATTCTATGAATAATCAAAATTATTTTTACCTGTACGAATAAATGTGCAAACGTTTGTCATACTTTTCAGGAGGCTACTAATGATTACTATCATTCAAATAATGACGATAACCGTATGAAGGATGAGGAAGTAAAATATACGTATTATATTCAGGAAGTAGTTTATTGTAAAGGTCTCTTCTGATTCAAATCATGACTACGAAATAAGAATGAGTTATTTGTTTGTCAATCCTAAACTGATAATCGGTTAAAGAATTATAATCGCTTTATTAGATTCCGGCTAACGATTAAGTCATAATAAAAGTAAATCAAATAGAAAACTAAAAATATATATTGAGTAAAATCTGTTGAATCAGCAATAATCAATTAAAGATTTAAATAAATTATTACAAAATAGATAATCAAATGTTCATCTATACATCTTTTGTCGTTTCGTCATTGTACTGCAGTAGTTTTAAAATATTCAGTCGCAATTAATCAGAGTAAACATATCTATTCTTTTTCCTTCGATAACCGTGAAATTTTTCTCATGATTTTCACTAATGTCATTTCGTATAACGTCATGTGTTGATGATGTAATTGCGCATGACTATTGCCAGCATTTTATATAAATACCCAATTATCTATCTGCGGACATATTCTACTCGAATAGCGCTTTTCAAATAACTTCCTTTCGTTGATCAGTTTGAATTATGACTTGGTGTTTTCGTCTTCTTATTTTCATCAGTATAACGTTCATTTTGGTCAACAGCGATAGAATTAAACGCCAAGGAGGAGGGGGAGGAGGTGGTGGCGGAGGAGGAGGAGGAGGAGGAGGTGGTGGTGGTGGTGGTGGTAGAGGTAGTGGTGGAACCAGCAGTGGAGGTAAGAATAATCTATTAGTTGAGAAAGAATTTATTCATGCCATAGAATTATATTGACGTAAATATGAAATAGTATGTTGAGATTTTCAAATTTACCATTACTCTACTCTACACACCTCTAATGATACGAAGGCATAAGGAAATTTCTCATAACGAAAGATGATTCCTTTTTGTCTTTCTCTGCCAAAAATATTTCAATATATTCATCATAATGTTTGATACAATGTTTCATCACTCTAGTCTATACTAAATGTCTTTTTCTATTTAGCAAAAGATATTGAATTGATACTTTCGATTATTAAAATGTAATTATACTAGTTCTTTACGTAATAAAATTTCAAATTGAAACAATACGCATATATATAGTTACAGTTAGTAGATAAAAACTATGTTTATTAACGATTTCATCATAACAAGATCTTGCCATATTTTTATTAATTCAATTATATATAAAAAATAGAGTACATACGAATTTGAATGTAATTATTTACACTAAGTTAACAACTGAAAATCTTCATTCGAGTGATTGTCAATCTCATATATAGTATAGAGACTTTTCTGTTTAATTTGATTCATTTCAAAATTATTTAGATCTGTAAAAAGTGATTGAAAGTTGTGAATATGAATTGCTTCTTTTTTTCCATATAGGTGGAGGAGGTTCAGCTGGAGCTATCGTTGGAGGTCTAGTCGGCGGTGTGGTCGGACTTATATTGCTTTTCATCTGCTGTTTGATAATATGTTGTCCATCCTTAATTCCATGTCTGAGAGGTCGGCCATTACGATCAAACAATGCTTATGTTAATAGTGGAAGTGCTTGGGGATATGATTCAAGTGATTCCATCTTTACATCAGGTACATTTGCAAGTTATTATTATCAATATGGCAAGTATCATGGACCATTTAATATGAAACTTGGATTCTATGCAACAGCTGACTATGTTGTTCATGGAGGAGGAATAGATGATGTAGGCGCTTATGTTATAACGGGTATTTATTCACCAAGAACTCTTCGAATGGGTTTGACAAAACAGTATCAATCTGGAACAGGAAATCCACAAGAAAATTTAGGTCATAAAGTGACAATTCAAGTAGAATGGAATTATTATGATCAACAATTTGAAGGTAAATATTATCTTCGAACAAGACGGCATAAAGATGAAAATTCATTTATAATTCGATATGAAGGTGCAAGGTATTAAAATTTATATTCAATTGACGTTCGAATATTTAGCATTAGATTTTTTCAAATGTTGGACTAATTTTTTTTTTTTTGTTCTTTTCTTTTAATTTTATACAAAACAACAAATATGAGAGAAACGAAAAACAAAAAAAAATCGTGTTCATAAATTCGTTACACATTGTCACGTAGATCCTTTCTTGTATTTGTGAATTGTTTATCATTTGTATTAATCAAGACAGATTTTGATGAATAAAATTAATTATTCAATTGTTGTCTTTAAACAATCATTTTTAATATTTCATGTCACTGATAATTATAAAAATGATATATTAGCCTTTTTTCTCGTCTTCTTTTGACCAATTGTATTTAATTCAGTTTGTTGTTTTCTTACTTCAATATTTTTTCTTGAACCAAAAAAATGCACTTTATCAATAAAGAATGTCTTGATTGTTTGTGGTCTTTTATATTTATTAGTAAGATGATTTTTTTTAATAGATTCTACATCATTTTCACCATTAATATTTTGTTCCTCTACAGTTTTAAGCATATTTAATGAAGCATCATTATTATCTGAGAGTTTTTTCTTTTTTGATAAATTTTGTAATTTTTTTATTTGTATTGATGATAAAAGTTCAGACTGTCGACAACTTTCTGGTCTTGAATAAATAGCATAATTACAATTGATTGATGGTTCATTTGATATTTGTAATTCCATTTGTTGTGATGGTGAAAGTAATGGATTTTGTTTAATATCCCATGATTTACTACGACCACATGTAAATATAATTTTAAAAATTGAAATATATTTTCGTCGAAATAATTTTCCTGATAATGAATATAATAAACAATTTGTAGATGAATTAAATAAATCAGTAAAAAGAAATAATGCTAATGATTGTTTTATTTGTGGACATGATGCCATTGTAACAACATATAATGTATGACAATAATACATTGTTAAAAATATTGGTATACCCCATGATATTGTTATAACAGAAAAACTTTCAATTAATATAACAAGAAATGCACGTACATCATTTTGTAAACGATTTCTATGACGATTATTTCTTGTTGTACGTTTTAAATATTTTAAATTTGTTGAAAAATAAATAACTTTTAATGATGATAAATTTGCTAAAAAGACAATAAATGATGGTAATGCATTACCAAAAAATATAGCCATTGTATGTCGATTAAATGCAAATGATAATGAATGAAGAAAATCAAATATTTTTAGATAAACAGAATACATTATTGTTATTTGACATGAACGTTTTTCAAATAATTTTAATAATACATCTGATGATTTTATTTTTGGAAGTTGTTCAATTAAAATAGAAGCATTTGTTATATTAAAACTATTTTCATAAATATGTGTTAATACATTTGTTGTACTAACCGATATACTTGAATCACGATTAGAAAGTAATGATTGAGTTAAATAATAAAATTCAGATGAAATTGTTGTATTTGAACAATTGAACTAAAAGAAAATTTAATTTCATTATCAAATATCTTTAGCATATTTAGATCGAAATCTGAACCGTACTCTTAATTTTAATAATATTTTATAATATGAATCTTCAAGTCGTTCCGAAGATGTACGATAGTTTTTATCTTCTACTAACACATAGAAAGGGTTACTTTAACATAGCTTTCAAAATATCTAACGATGGACTGACGAAGAAAGTCCTCGAGATGTTCAATTGCTTTTAAGTCGAAACTACGTGCTTTATGTAGACTCTAATGAACGATGAATATCTTGGAAGGAGTTCATATTCGTAGCTTATTGCTTCGGCGATATTGCAAATTTACTGTATTCATGTTTCAGGTTTTGTCACTGTTCCCATCCCTAAGATACAACTATGGTAATAGAGAACTATTCTTGTTAAGGCCGGTCCCTATACGAAATTTCAAATCGAAATTTGATAATCAGTTTTTCTGTTACCCCAGTATTTATTTAAAAGAAAATAATACGTTCATAGCAATAAGCAGCTAATGGTAAGAATTATTTTCAGGGTATTTCCATCCTTGATTCTACCACTATTCTCAGATAATTTTTACAATGATCTGATAATAATTTAGTCATAATTGACTGTTACTTTTAGAGTATGATCATTACTATGCGCATTAATCTTTAATGAACAAAATAAAGAATCTATTTATATCTTAATCAGAGATCATCAGCATAAGGATATATTTTGGAGACTTACACAGTCCCTATGAAAGTTGAAGAAGGGTGTAAATCCTTATAATAATTGAAAAAATATCATTATTACCTAGAAAAATGAAAAGAAATTTTTATTATTTCTAAGATTTTTTCTTCTGCAACCTCGTTTAATGTCTATGCACGAGCACATGGAATCGGGTTTTCAAGTTTTATTGTTGAATCTGATTGTTTTTTTTTGATATTCTAGAGGTTCGTTATCCGTAAATAAACTTTACATGAATCATTTTGACTCAATAATAATTTCCTTGTTCTTTTATTTCTTTATTTCTGCATGGAAGAATAAATATAAAAATGTAGAATAATTTAAAAATATAAATTCTATACAAAATATTATTTTAGCATAATTTAAAAGTTAAATATAAAATATTTTGTTGATTTAAAATAAAAATAAAAACTTTCAAATTAATATTTTGATCTAAAACTGGTTCTTAAAAAAGTTACTAATGTCTCATATTTATATTAACTACTTCCATATTTAAAATCCATTAACATTTTTATTAGATTTAATTACTTTAATATTTTTGTTAAAATATGAAAACTATCCAATTGTGTCTAATAGTTGTATATCAGGAATGATATGCCTTAGCTTCTTTTTTTAGTATATATTATTATTTCCGTTTTTTCTCTCTTTCACGCAAATTTGGTATGCAAGAAGAGAAAAGCATACGATATATTTCCTTTTAACATATGAATTCGTCTTACAAATATGAACTAACAAAAGAAAGTACCCGAGATGTTCAGTTTCTATTTTGATTCATTTAAAATTCATTCGATCGAATATATTGAGATAAGAAAAAGTTTTCAAGATTTGAATCTATGGTCTTCTGACGAAAAATTATAATTAAAATTAAATTTAATAGTTATAAGATAATTCTGAAAATTTCAACGAAAACGAACATGTCTTTCTCGACATATTCAATGTAGAAAGAAAAGCAACAGCCTACTATAGAATCGCATACCGATGAAATCTACTTGAAAATCAAACATATCGAGAAAGATATATGTTGCTTTTCATTGAAACTTTCAGAGTCAAACAGCAATGAGTTCAAACCTTTTAAAGTTTTTTTAACCTCAATGTAATCTATCGAATGAAACAAACTTGAGTTAGACTCTTCGAATACTTCTTTCGTAAGTTCTATAGAGACAAGATAAATAATAAAAACCATTCTCCGTGAATAACAGACATTTTGCTATTTTTTTTCTCCAGATATTTACAGTGTAATTGAATGAATATATTCTAACGTGAACTATTGTTTAGGATAGTTCTATTGATTGAATTGATATTCTGCTAAGATTCCATATCTTCCTTCTCATACGAATAATTTTCAAAGCAGACAAACAAAATGTTAATACTTCAATAAGGAAACAATGATTTCTATTTAGAATTTTTGATGAATGTCAATGAATTTTTGTGTCATTCTTGAAGAATAAAAATCCAGGTTAACACAATTGCTTCTTTTCTGTAATAGACAGAAATAGAATAGTATTATATTACTTTCTGAAATAGGATCTATTGACAATGCTGAAATGTACAATAACAAGAATTTAAATATTTCTCTCACAAATCATAACAAAGAAGTTATTATGTCTTCTTATAATCTTTATAATCAATATCTTACTTATATATTACATTCTGAACTTGTATCTTAGGTTTTTAATACTATCAAATTTTTGTCTATTTCTGTTTTAGAAGTTGAACATAATACAAATATAATGCGCTCTTATGAATAATTTTGATTAATACCACATCATTAAATTATTATAAAAATCTATTCAATATTCTATTAGTAGAAATTCTATATGATTAATCAGAATAAGAAGATTGAAATATGAATTGTTAATTTGAAATCTAAAGACTAAATCATATGGATTAGATCATTTTGAAATATCTTATAAAATAAATACATTTTTATTTTTCATTATATTTACAAGAAAAAAAAACAAGTTTCTTTTTACTCGTCAATATATTATTTTAAATAATGAAAAGAAAATGTTAAAGTACATTTAATACTTACTTATTGTAATAAATATAGATAAAGTATTAAAACGTACGCAATGCCTCTGACACAATGATTTATTCAGCATGAGAACTCAGAGAGCAGTGTTCCACTAAAGATCGAGCTGACCCTTCACAAGTTGTTAGTTATTATAACGTGTACTATGTGTTTATGCTCTGAAAAAATAGGCGTTCGCCTTCCTAGGGTTTTAAATATCTCCTCCGGAAAGGTAGATATGAATAAAACACTAATCTAACAATATTGTCATTTATGAACAATCTTCTGCTTTGATTTGACGGTTATATCTTATACTAAAGTGTAATAGAATTTATGTTTCTTTTTAGTTGATGAATGAATAATTAATTTCATAGAGACTTAGCTAATGTATTTTAATTGTTAAAACTTCAATCAGATTTCGTATTTTGAACCAAGTTGTTTAATCCATTACAAAAAAAAAAATTCTTTTTTTTCTACAATTTATTTCAAATATTGTATATCTTTATTTGTGCTCATTTTTAATGTAATAATAAACCTAGAGAACACTCGATGCAATCAAACACTTATGTTTTTTTTCTCGAAAAGAATGAATATCAGTTTAAAAGATGACATTTTTTTTACAATTTATCATCGAACAAAAAGTACAAAGAAAAAAAACTAGGTCGTTAGGCGTTTCAAATATCTCTGCTACTTCAATTATTCAAGTACTTAAAACGATAGACAAATTTTATTGCGACTTTAGACTATATTTTAGTAGAGACAAAGTTTTCCAACTTATTTTTGAAAAATTTTTTTTATTTTCTCAAATAGTTTATCATGATTTGATAAATTTCAATTAGGATTATCTTATACTGTTCTAATTTCATTCTTTCACTTTAGAAGCATTCTTAGTTAAAAGTTTTCTAAAAGACAAAGATAAAAAAAAAAAACTTTTTCTGGTTGAAGAGTATAATATAAAAAAACTACTTTAGTTTCTTTTTTTTATCTTATATTCTTTTACTCCCAAAAGGTCAAATATATCTGTCATTATCTATTAGAAATTATATTTCTATACCTCATTTATTTTTGATATTGTACTATTCAATTGATTGATACCTAATGATTGAAATATACAATAATATTTATCAATAAATTCATCATAATGGTCATATAAAACTCTTGAATAAATTTTTTTAAATAATTTATTATCTTTTATTAATTGAAATATTTCGAAATAAATCTTTGAATCAGTTGATTTCGAACATTGTATACCAATCCATTCAAAGCAAGTTATTAATATAGCAATAACAAGACTACTGATGCATGCTAATACAGCACAAAAACGTGTTTCACGATATGATAATGAAAAAAATGTTCGTGAACGTTGTATACTTAATATAGCAAGTAATATTGTTGATGCACGTGTCCATAATATTTTATAAAGCATCCATTCAAGACAAAATTTTCCCATAAATGTATAAACAAAATCTGTTAAACTACGAATTATTTTTCCATTAAACATACATAATAAAGATGATTTATCACTCATAGAAGATTCACGTTCAACCATTTCAGTATAACCAATTAATAATGTTGTTGAATCACTTATTAATAAACAAATAAAATAAATAGCTATTGGTTTATGAATAAATGTTTTAGAACAAAATACAATAATACAAAATATATTCGAAATTAAACTTAACAAATGTATTAATGGCATTAATAAACACCAAATTAATGTTGGACTAATATATAAATTTGATGTTTTCGTATTATTCATTAGATTAATATCCATTAATGTATAATAAAAAATAACGTGTGTGTATGCGTGTTTTGTTTTCAATCCTATCGGATCTTTTTACTGTTACATTGAATCTTATCTGCAAACAAACAAGATATAATATGTCAGATTTTATTAATTATTATTTAAAACAAAACATAGAAGTATTTCGTCATGAGAATCCTTTGTTTTTTTTCTTAATAATATGAAGGAATAAAACAACAACCATTAAAAACACCATGAGAGCATATATATATAGTGTTCTTATAAGAAAATGATACAACACTTACTTATTCATAGGACATTGTTTTTTTCCTTTCTTACAATCTAAATTTCTTAAAGAAAATCTTCTTTTTTTGTTTGTTTTTTCTTGACATTCTTTACTTTGATTATCTGGATATTTTTGACAAGGTCTTTTTACGTTGGATTTATTGAACTGCATGATGCATTGAATCAACACATAATTGAATAGTATCTCCAGGGAGCACAGCTCACAGGATCAACAAGTCAAAAACATGCATGTCTAAACTTACATACCTGTTCATTATAATATTTATATTCAAAATATATGAAAATAATGTAACTATACAACATTCAAATGCAGTCTTATCAGTTATAAATATATTAACAAAAGAAAGAAGAAAGAAATGCAAAGTCAAGAAAAAAGAATGATACAGGAAGAATTAGACATTTTCAATGATTATATAAAGAAATGCTTAAGATGCGTACTTTTGAATACATGCGTGTCTGTAGGCTTGAATAAAGATTGGCCAATCTTTTGCTAATAATTAGACATGAAAAATGTTAAACCGACAATTTCATAAAAATAAGTTTTTAAATAGCATATCATTTGTTGTTTCTCGTTTTTCTTTTTTTTTTTTTTTCTAGTCTCTTTTCTTTTTGAAACATCTATCATTATTTATAAAACACAACATTCATAATCATATAAGCGAGATTGTTGTTTCCACTTAAGTACATTTCATGATGTTAGAAAGAAAAAAATGGAAATTTGAAAATTTTTATTTCTTGTAAGTTTTTTTTTCCTTCATATATTTGTCTATTTCACAAATGGGAATATCATGTCTCAAAATAAACTAAATGAAACATATATGATTAAACAAACAAATCAATTACCTTATATGGATACATAAACCCAACGAACCAAAATTTCGAAACTATTTACTGGACAATAAAGCATTGTTTTGAATAAGAATAATACTAATCATTTCTGAAGTCAAATAAACATGGTCATATATGACCGTTTTAGATGTTTTGTTTTTCGCCGTTTGGAAGGTGCAGTATTACGACACTATTTCACGGTATTGTAAATGATTGGATACTCAATTTTCAGGTCTTTTGAAGATCATTATGAATTGTGTACGACACGATAAATATACGTTCGTAATACTGCCTCTACCAAACGTCAATTTATAGCTATGAGCGACCGCAAACTGTATGAAACAATAATATATACAGTACTGTTTTTGACTATCTCAACGAGTGTAATCCTCGTTCTGAACTCATCGATAAATATGATAGTTAACAAAGAAAAACTAACCGATTTTCATAATATACAATTTAATAATCAAATATTGTTATTATTATTCATATTGTGGTTGAAATTTATAATATGGGATTTGCAATAAAAATATCCATGCATAGAGTTTATTCATTAATTAAATACCAACAATACTGTACTTTTCATATGACTGCATACATTAGTAAAACTTTCTCTATTTATATTAGCAACCCTGAAGTCAAAACTCAGTGTAAAAAATATGAAGCATAGAGGAGAAAGAAAAAAAGTATATGTTAAAAAAACATGAACCCATGAAAGATTAACTGAAACGTAAACAAATAGTTATTTCTTAATTAATATTCATACGTTCTTAATTGAGAAATATTAGTGAAAAGAAAAAGAAATAGAATGTAAGATATCTTATATTACTAGTTGAAAAAAAAATGCATCGCAATAAATCCTAGTACATTTACATATATGTATACTCAAAACGATGAATAAATGAAGTATATTAGAACTAAATTACATTAAGGACATAAATGAAAAAGTAATTGTCACTTATTTATTTATTTCAAGAAAAATTAAGCTATACAAATTTTCAAGATTATATTTAAAAAAAACCTATTTTCTAACTATTATATTAACAAATTTTCATTTTCAAAATAATATACTTGTTTAATTTATAATTACCATACACAATTATATATGAATGAATACATCATTGATAATAAATAATACAGGGCTGGCCCGAGTCAGCAAACATTGGGGGGGTTGTCGCGATTTTTTGGGGGGTTGTTTCGGATATTATTAATGCGAATAAAACTTTTTTCTAACACTACTCACGAAAAAAAAATTCATTTTTGCTGGGTAAAAACGAAAATTGTCGATTATTGGGGGGTTGTCACAACCCCCAAAACCCCCTATCGGGCCAGCCCTGAAATAATATTTTTGTTTTCATCAACGAATAAAATCAACATTAATAGTTTACATAAATAAAGACAAAAAAAAAAAAAACTTAATTCTATTTAAATCCTTTTCTTTTATAAACAAAACAGTTATTTTTGTCCGAACTATTGTTATAACCAACTCGACTTTTAATGTCGTTACTTGATTAATATACTTCTTTACTAAATGAAGCAGAAAGTCAAGTGTTATTTCAAAGTATTATCAACAATGATTCTAATTGGCGAGGTATATTATTTAAACTAAAGGAATGAAAAAATATGAGATTAAGAAAATATTTTTGCTTGATTTTAGATGTTTTTCTAGGATAAATATAATGATAATAGAAGAGAAAAAAAAACTATCTTGAAAATTATCTAACATTCGAAATATTCTTACCTTGTTCAGGTATTCAAGTTTAACTTTTTCGTCAAATAAACATACTCAAACACACAATGTTACAAAAACGACAGACTATTTTATGTTTAAGTATATAATAATCTTTTTAAACAAATGCGCTTGTAAGATAGGATGTTAAATGAATAAATCCTTATCAACAATAAAAATGTTTATCAAGACCTCGATTTAAAAAAAAACCTACTTCTGAAAATATAACACGCACTTTTTTTTTCATACATAGAAATAAAAAACGATGGGAAGTGTGAGAACCAATTATATTATGTTATAGAATAAATATGTTCGCAAAAAGCTTATCCTTAGTTTTTGGTTGCGTGCTATTATTCATTGTCGGTTATTATTCACGTCAAAGAATTAGTGACGTTTATATGTTAGTATGTTCTTTTTTTATTTATTATGGAATTTATTACAAAACTTATGAGAGCTATCAAAAATCTCAAACATTTTCTAATAGTTGTGTGCTTTTTAATAAAATAAAATCTCTATATTTAGTATTCAATTATTTTGTATCTTTCTTTTTCTTTCGATGGTTAGAGATTAGAATGAATTATCTTACTGTTTATTAAATTTATATATCTGCTAAATATAAAATTTATAATACTTGTGTGTCATTATAGAACAGAAGTAAAAAAAAAAGAAAATTAATTCTTGAAAAATTTCATATTTATGTTAAAAATAATGAAAAACCAGAAATTTGTTAAATTATAGGTAATATCGTAACTATTCAATAGTGTTCTTGTTTATTATTACCATATACATATTGCTTGGTATAACAGTATAATATCTCGTTTACAAATGAATGTAACTCTGATTAGTTACATAATATGACTTCTATTAAATTGAATATAAAACATGTTCGAAAATTGAGCTGATATCGTTCCTAATGTTCTAAGTATAAATGCATACTAATGATTTAAAGACAAATGTGTGAGCTTCAAAGAAAAAGACAGTGGAACAAACAAGAATATCCTGCATTATGTCTGACGGATAACACATGAAAGCATAGATTGTAAAGTGTCTTTTGTGAGAATAAAATTTAAAGACGGATATTCATATATCTTCTTTCGTTGGTATTAACGACAAGGTCATTACGGAGATGACTACAATTAATTTTCGGGATTTTCTTTTCTTTTTCTTTCTTTTTTATTAAGGTTAATCCTATGGCATAAAACGATATCTTGAATATGAGATAAAAGTATACTTCCATCACGTACATGTTATTATATTAATTTTTTCAAATTTATTGAATTATCTATAAAATTTTTCTAGAGTATAGTCATAAGTTTTCAATGACGGAGATTTTTGAATACTTGATTGTTTTTCATCTCATCAGTATACTATAATTAAAAATAACTAATGTAGAAATGTATATATTTGACTATAAATGAAGAATTTTGTTGACAAGTAATTATTTTAACATAGTGCAATTCATAATGTCTCTCGGCACCTCTCAAAACATCACTTCTAATGAACACAACAAGTTTTACTTACACTTATACATTGTTCTATAAGTTGGATCTAATAAACTCTTAGTTAGAATATTAAAACTTAAGTAACTCAAAAGAATCAACGTATTAGATTGACTATTTTTCACACGCAAATTATTCGACAAAGCTATTTTCACTCTCGGCTATATAATCATTTTGCTCTCGGCAAGACACAAAAATACTAACATAATAATAAGAAACAAAAGCCAAAACCAGTAATATTTGTCGAAGAAGAAAAAATTCATTAAACCAAAAAAAAAATGATTTTATTTTTGATATTAAATCTCGCATTAGCTATTTGAAAATGGAATAATTATGTACTAAAATTTTGATTATCTCGTTTGACTTTTATGTTTAATCAAGACTAATATATTTCAATATAAAAACATGTTTACAGATATATGAACTTTGAGAAAAAGAGGAAAAAATGAACTATTCTAAAATACATCTGCATTCATATATTTATTTTCTCATAATCTCTTAGTTCGAATAAAATTATTTTGCATTTTATCAAAAACAATTATTAGTCATATTTCTGAACTTCTAGCATACTAAAGTAAAAATCATGTTGTTTTCTTTTATTAACACTTCTACAATTTATCAATGTATATTTTATTCAAAGATTAAGAATATTAAAAAGGAAAATGACA